TCATCAGGTGACTCATTTGGTCATGATTAACTCTAATTTAAGAATTTGGAAAAAAATTTAAATCACCAAAACTGTCATCTAACATATTATCTAACTTAGGGTATTGGACAGTTACATTATCTAAATTTAGCTGTTGAATAGTCAAGTGTGAAGATTGAGACATCAGTTTAGTCTCTGATCAACCAGTAAAGAGGAACTCTGGAGTATAATTCACTGCAAATAATGAACCATTATAGAAAATGAATCACCTTTATACATGGCACTATTTTAGATGCTAGAGATGCTCTAACATACCATAATTTAAAGTGTGAAGAAAATGCTGTGGAGCTGGATATGCAGTCAAGCAGGCACTATCCTTGTTCTGTGCCATAAAGAACAAGATAATAGTGGTGGTAAAGCATGTCTGCATTAATACATGACACTCATATGTGCAATAGACTTTTAGCACAATCATGGGCATCTGTTGAAGAAACCTGAATACCTGGACTTGTTTCTGCACTCTGGTTTCAAGGTTATCATCATTTGCTTCTATTCTCTTTTAATTTTTAAACCACCATAATCACAGCTGTTGTATTTCATGAGTAACAACTATCTTTTAAAAATCAAATGAAAGGAAAAGTGGTTATTGTGTCTCATAAAACTCTGAACAGATAGATAATGTTCATTCTAAAGGGAGATGTCCATGGTTGATAGGCATTCCTGGAAAACATCTGACAGAGAGAATTTCATTACAGTCCTCAAACATTTTAACCTTCATAATTATCCTATAATAATTAAAGATATTTAACACAGTTGCAATACAGGAAGGCATAAAGAAATAAAGTGTTCTTCTAGTCTCCAAAGACATGTAGAGATTTTCAGGATATATTATAATGTGCACCTGTGGGTTTGAAGACGCAGCTCAGAACAGTGATGCATGGTAAAGAGAAATCATGAGGAGCAGAATTGAAATTACAGTAATAGATAAAATATTTCAAAATATCTCATCAATCTGTATAGAAGTATGAAAGTATAGAAAATGTAATCTATGCATTCCTATTTAAAATATCCTTGAAATCCTAAGAGCTCAGATGCAAGGAAAGGGTATTTTAAATTTCAGACATTACTCTTTCTACCTCTCCCCATTCCCAAAATAAACGTGTACTTTAGGTATGTCATAAAATTCTTTCACATATGAAATTGACAGGAAGAAGAATTGCTTCCAATAATTTTTTAAAAAGTTTTTATTTCTATATTTTATTGAAATATGTGAAGAATTCCTACTAATTCAACAGTGCTCATCCCAAATATTATACTGCTGAAAACTGACTCTTATAATGTCTTCTAAATGCAAAGGTAAAATTATAACTCATATTTTTTTCAAATTCAAAGTGTACAAGCCTAAAGTAATGTCTATCACAGTCACCAGGGAGCATTTAGGTTTTTTATTTGAGTCTAGATTAATGACAAGTTTAAAGATGGTATTTCTGAAATCAAATAGAGTTTTTCTTGGTGGTACTAAGATTAACCAGTAGTATTCAGAGGACATTTTCCCAAAAGTGAGGAGAAATCTTGTATTTGAACTCAAATGAAACTCAAATCAATTTATTCATAGGAGTTGAATGTGAATTATGTTACAATAAACAAGGAAACTGTATTCCCATAAATATCTGCTGAGACCAAAATGGAAATGGATTATATTGGTTATAAGATTCAGTAACTATGCATATTACATTAAGCTCATATTTATGCTAGAAATATTTCTGTATTTATACTATTTTTCAAAAAGCTGTGCATCATTTGAAAAGATTAAAAATGTGCATATGTTAGTTTTAGGAGTTTTCTAGAACAGTCACACAATTTTATTCTTTCACATCCTCACTCATGTTTCATTTCATTCTCACAGAAGTCACAGAGAAGAAATAGGTATAGATATATTTTTATTTCAGATGTAATATTCATATGTCACTTGTGAGTTATGCTAGGAAAATAAGTGTCATTAAACAGAACTACAAGTTGTCTGCAAATACTGATTTGCAATATGGGAGTACTTTCCTTTGAAATCATTAAACCTGCACAACTAAAGTAACTTTATCTCCTTGAAAAATTCCATTTACTAGATTATATTGATGAGAAATAACTGAGTTGTTTTAAAATATGCTTCCTAATGACCCAAACAAGCAGTTTCCTCTGTGTTTGCCCTGTTATACACATTTACTTGCTGTAGGAAATGCAAAAGCAAATTTAAAAAAAATTGTTAAATGCAATTTAAAGGAAACTTTCCAAATACATGAATTTCAGAATAATCTCATAGCAGCTAAATGAGACAATTTTCATGGTTTATAACCTCTTGACTTTTTCTCAGAAAGATAACACCATCAAAAAAAATCTATTGACTAATACTATTCAGCAGAACCTATTTTCCTGCATGGCAATAGAGAAGAAGCATTTTTGTCCCTGATTTTACTGGAAGCAAGGCTGAAGGCCAAATAACTATGAAAAGGCAGCAAGCATGACACCCTTAAAGTCCCAAGTAAAGTGTATCTGCACACTCATTTCAGTCATAAAGCAGCAGTTGCTGAGTCCTATTACACTGTACCAACATAAAGAATTGCTATTCCTACTGTGGATTTGTGCTGTGATAAATAATGATCAGTTAAACTCTTACCTGTCCATTGTGGATGTTTTGCAGACAGAAATCATGACACGATTATATTCCATATAAAAACAGGACAAGCATAAAAGCAATTAGCTCTTTAAGCTGAATGTAAAACAGAAGACTTGCACGATGTCCACAAGACACTGAAGAGTCTAAATTTGAATATCAGAATGAAGTGTGCAATAAGAGATTAAATATGAGAGTTAAATAATGGAGAAAAAGAAACTAAGATTGTTATTTGTACTACATCTGTTATATACATACAGCTATTAAAGTATAACAAATAAAATATGTAGTTAGAAATATGAAAAGAAGAACATAACTGGTGGGATTAAGACAGAAAATTTTATTAGTGCATCAGAAACAAATATCCTATTTATCCTTCATATTTAAAATTTAACATGTTGAAGTACTTAAATCATATAAGAATGGGAAATTCTTTGATCTTCTAAGTGAAAATATGTAAAAAAACTTCTTATAGGAAACAAACTTTATAAATTAGAACCATACAATCTGCAGAAGAGCCCGCAAACCAAAACCACAGGACACCATAACTTGAAATCAGTTATCAAAAAATTAATTTAAAGTTAAAAACGAGAAAGCTACAAAGTTTCTATGATGATAGAGGAAAAAAAAAAAAAAAAAGAGGTCTTTTTATCCACACCCATCACATGATCCAAAAACATTTATAAAAAGAAATATATATACATAATTGGAGTGCTGGAAAGAAAAGAGACCAGCCAGTTTTGTTTAGCAAGGAGAAACAAAAAAATATTCCATACAGGTATTTCTTCTGTGGAGGACAGTGATAAAAGATCATTTTGCAATAATAACAAAATATTTTAGGGACCATGTGTCAGAGATGTCTCACAATAAAGTTCATTTTGTCAGTTTAATTAATCAGTGCAGCAAACTGATAAGGGAAATAATTATTTTCTCTTTCTTGTATATTAAAATTAATTCCATATGGGACTATAAGTTGGTTTTATAAGGTAATAATGTTAATAGGCTCAATGAAAATCAGTGATATGTGGCACTCAGGAGTTAAAATTAGACAAGTCTTCTGATAATCAGTGACAAATATGAGAATTGTCTTAATCTCTATAAAGTACTAGAATTTGGAACATCTTGTCTGCATGTTTGAGTAAAACTGCAGTAATTCACATTACTACATGTGATTCCAACTGCTTGAAGAATAACCAGAACTTGCTTGTCACATGCTTATTTTTTGTGTCTCAAACTGGATACCTTGAAAAATTAAGAGAAAGGTGATATTCTTAATGAAACTTCATACATTTACAGTAAGTGAAAGTCAGCAAATCATGACAGCAATTCATAGCAGTTTTGAATTTAAACTAAATAAATTTGAACTATTATGAAGTGATATTCCTCATCTAAACTGACACAAGGCCCTGTGTTTATATCTAAGCATAGACTTGAAATAAATACAATACATGTTTTTCAAAATGTTCCATTTTCTTTTATGGTGTCCTCCAAGTTTCTTGTGGAGTTCCCGAAACAGTCCAGCTTTCAGCTTGCAATCAAATATTTTTTTTTATAGATAATTCTATTTTTTCCCCTCATAAATACCTGCTATATTTAGAAAAATGTATGTCTGTACCATAAGGATCACTGGGTGCACAATGGCTGATGAGTTTTTGAGCTGAAAATAAAATTTTATGAGTGCAAACACTATTTAATGCATTTTTTCCCCAAGTATGAATATAAATGACCCAGGGTCCTCACAGACCACTGTGGAACAGCAAGTTGCAGTGAAAAACCCTTTTGCTGCCACAAGGAAGAGTGTAATGCTGTGAGACAGGAACAGCTGTGCCATTAATACGTCTTGTCACACAACCAGTTTTGTAATTTGAAGAATATTGTAAGAAAAATGTCTCCGTACCTGTGGCCACTTAAATTTACCCAAGAAAGAAATTCTCCATCTAGACAGATCTTTTCATTGATTGACCTGAACTGCAGTTTCATTGGAGGAAAATTGCCATGTTTTTGAATTTGCCAAGTTCATCCAAGTTTCAAAGTTATTTGTGTTGACCTATCAAGTGGCAGCATTCAGCAGTAAAGCATAGAATGCTAAAGAAACTCTAGAGAGAGTGATTTCAAGTGATTTATTTGATCTCAGTAAAAACAGCCTCCCCTGTGGATGAAAGAGACACATTCTGTGTAACAATCCATTTATTAAGGATTCCCTATAGAAAGTGAACTAGATCAACCATTATATGAACCTTAATTGTGACTATGTTTTATTGCTACTTAGATTATTAAGTGTTTAAACTACCAGATAACAGAATCTATATTCTCAATAGTGGAAGAGTGTTAACATTAATTTTACTAAATATTTCAGCCCTGTTCCAACAATCTCTTGGAGGAAAGTTAATGGTCATAATCCAAGTAAAGCTCGCCTGAGAAAATCCCAAGCTGTGCTTGAAATACCTAATGTGCAGCTAGAGGACTCAGGAATGTATGAATGTAAGGCTGAAAACTCTCGTGGAAGAAATGTCTTCAGAGGACAGCTACAAGTATACAGTAAGTGTAACTGCACACAGTATTGTCCTGAAATGCTTTGTCCACACTTAAGGCTTTGGCCACACGTGAAGTATTCCAAGGTTCAGCAAAAACAAGATACCTTGATATATAGAGTATACATCTTATACCAACAATAATTTTGATTTAAGTTATATATTATTATTCCTTAGTATTGCATTAAGGTCTGAAACATAAATTATGTTGACTCCTTTGAAGATTTGATTTAAATACCATTTTATATGGGATTTGCTATTTTTTTTTAAATTAAACAGCATAGCTATAATTTTAAAAGTCTATTCCTGTCCATTAGAATATAACAATGACATACAACCTAAATATGAATTATCTGTCAGAAAACAATACTGGAGATATTTTAGGATTATTAACACACTATTATTAACATTTTAACTATGCCATGCTTGGCCGCTGAGCTTTGTCATGGTCAGTGTACTGGAATGAGAGCTTAAAACGGATTTGTTTCTTCCTGAAAATTCTTAATCTAGGCATGCACAATTTCAAAAAGTTCTGATTTTCACAACGTGTTCAACATTTTCTAAGACTCAAAATAAAATTTTGAGTGACCATAAAAGTAAGATTGAGTCATGCATCAGATTGAAAATAAAAAAGGAAAACTGAAAATAAAAACATTTGACAAACCACATGAATTCCATTATACTGTTGCTGCATTCTAGAGTCTAGAAACAAAAGCATATGTAACACATACCATGAATACTTACAAGTCAAAGTTTGGCATATATCACATGTAAGCTTGAGTCCCACTGCTTTTAATAAATTTAAGCCACACTACTTTCTATCATTCCATGAACCCTACAACCTTAAATACTTAGCAGAAAAGGTCTACTGTGGGAGGGTATGCAAGAGATCTTTCAAACTGAATTGTCTTCAAAGATCCCAGCCAGTAAAATCCCAAATGCTGCAGTTTAGATACATCCTCAAGTTAATGGATATGTCTAAGAAGTTTCTTCTCTCAATTGATTTTCTTTTCCCGATTTCAGCCCATGGTTCCTAATGCCTTCTCCCCATTAGTAACTATAAAGTGTTCTCTGTCTTTGTTGCACACTTTCATCAAATAACTATAGACCAGGATAGTATATTTAGTCTATTTCCCACGTGTCAGTATTTTCAGGTCCCTAATCAATTTTTATGTCTCCTCTGGCCTTCCAATGTCTTTATCTTAACTCAGTTTATTTTAGCAAGTATCAGCATATCTCTGAATCATACTTCTTTCCTTGCTTTTGATTCTCCTCCGCCTAGAGACCAGGACAGGTTTTTGTCTTCCATTTTTTTTGTAAATGCTGGAAAAATTATGTGATGGTTAAGATGACAGTCTGTGCATTTAATTTCAGATTTTCCATCTTGCACTTGCAGCAAAGGTTTTATAAGACTTTGGCTGAAAACAGCAGTCAAAGCCCACCACCTACTCTATGCCTCCTATTATAACAATACTCCACTGATATTTCTCAAATTCTTACTATAAATTACTTCCATGAAAGTATAGCAGCTCCTGCAATGCACCTGAAGGCCAGGGGAATTTAGCAGCTGGTCTTTTTTGACAATATTAAAATTCTTAAAATATTAGAAACTCAGAAAACTTAATTTGAGTTATAAGATATATCACAGCTCATACACTTCCTACCTGGTTTTTAGAGCTGTGAAACTACTAGATGCCAAAGCTGTGCATAAAAGTGTTATAATTATCTCTGCTTCCCTCTTTCAGAGTTAAAAGAATATAAAACATGCTCTTCAAGAGAGAAGCTAATATGCTATAAAAAGAAATTATTTCTGCAAGAGCACCATACAGATTTGTGGTATAAAATGACAGCAAACTGAGTAGTGCTCTACACAACTCTTTATCTCTCATTAGCCTTTAGATTAGAGCAGGAATAAAGGTGGTGATCAAGTCCATGAAATATATTTACAATATTAGTTTTGTCCTATTCTGTTTAGATAGAAATATGAATTTTTTTATTCTTCACCATTGTCTAAATTATATTTTTAGAGTCTCTGTCTTTATGGCATAGAACGCAAATTTAGCACATTGGTGTTTTTTGCAATAATATTAGGACAATTTCTTTAACACTTTAGGAAGAGTTATTATCTCATTCCTCTATTAACAGATATGTGAGACTAGTACATTAAATTTCACCTATCTGCATCAGCAGACAGAAAGGTCAGAACAGGTTACAGAGGGCTTTCAGATGGACAATACCATCCTAATACACAGGACAAGAAGCACAGACTTTACTAGCCCCCCACAAGTGCCTTTTCTTGGCCTCAAGATAAAATACTCCCCACTCTCAGCCTTCAGTGCTCATGAACAGAGCATCAGTGTCTCACTGGCCTACAAACCTTAGCTTCTCTTTCCAGAGGTGTAAAAGGGTTTTTGTGAGAAGGCTTCTGCACAAAATGAGCTACAGGTTATTTCACAAGTCTCTCAGCTTCCTCTGCTGAACAGCTGCTGTTGCAGGATTCGGGGGCATTATCTGAAATGGCCTTTTCTACTCTACCTTTTGTTCCTAACAACAGTCAACATGAATTATTTACCTGTAAGTTCACTGTCTTTTCACTGACATATTATTCCTCCAGGTGGCAATGATTACTTTGGCTCAGAAATTCAGATGTAGGCCGTCATTTCCTTACCAGGGGTTTCTTGTAAAATTTCAGAGCAGTGTGTAGGACCAGCTGTGTCATACTGCGGTCTCGCAATTTGCATATCTCTGTAGGAACTCACTCGCTGCCTGTTTGAATCTTCTTCATCCTGTCAGTTGCATCTGATCTGGGTCACCACAGAGCATTTTGGAGAAAGCCCAGGACACCCAGTCTGCCTGTCTAGTCACATTTAATCACAGACTAGGGATTTTTCTCTTCTTACCTGCTGCTGCAATCCAGATACACCGTGACAGCCTGATGCAGCTGACAATTTGGATGTTGTTCAGAATGCAATGTTTCAGATGCTGACAACTTCAGATTATTGTAGTCTCAGCACTTAGTGGAAATTCAGCTGTAGGCATGAAAAACATAAGTTTTACAATGCCAGGCATCCTCTTATGCACTGCAACCTATTTTGAGAGGTGTGATTTTTCCCACAAGTGATCTGCTCATCCTGTAAGTTTCCATGAAATTTTATTTAAGCTCAAATTAATTAATAGAAGAGAGCAGAAAAATGAAAATGTGAATGGATAAATTTGCCATTAGCCTTTTTGTTTCTCCTCAAATTCTAGCATTTCCCCAATGGTAAGCACTGGTATGACCAATTCTTGTTCCTCTCTCACTCTTAAATTTTTGGGGTTTTTTCCATGTTACCTACTCACTACTGCTAGGCTCATCAGGGGGTGATGATGTGAAGTGATTACAAAAACACATTTTTGGCTGTATCAGTTCCCTCATCCTGCACACAGCAGTGCCTTCCTGGCACCTGGAGGGAAGGCTTGCCATAACAGAAGACTGGAACAAGCATCTGACAGCAGGAATATTCTGTAATGCAGTGTAACTGACCATACTGATTTTAAAATCTATTTTAATTTCTTTCCTATAAAAATGGAATGGGAAAAAAGTCCACTCCTGCCACCACACATTAGTCCCACACAGTAAAACTGGCAAGAGAAGAGATTTTGTAGTAAAAAAAGTAAATTAGTTTTAAATTTTCTATCTTGATTTTCTCACTTATATTTCTCAATATGCTTCTCCTACTTTATTCCTCCCAAATAATCTCATATACAGAAAAATATTTTTTTCATCCCAAATTCTGTATTAATTGACATTTTAGGACATTATTTTAAGTCATTTGTCTATGTAAAATTTTTTGCTTATTTTGTCTCAGACAAAAAGCTGATTAAAATATTGAGAAATAATCGAAATTTTCTGCACCTTAATTTCATTTTGCATAGAGGATTTAAAAATTGGCCTGCAAGCTTGCAGATTTGTTGCTGATTTATATTTGTAAAACATTCTGACATTCTTGAATAAACAGGTGCAGAACTGCAGCATAAAATAAATCATGGATTGGATGGTGATTTAAAAATCTCAGAAACACTGTATAGAGTTCTGGCAAAACAATCATAAAGACTACTGAACACTAAAATGCATCCTTCTCTTCTCACAGTCAACTCTTCACTGGACAGATTAAAAACCAGGCAGACACTTGTTTGTTTTTTTTTTTCCAAGAAGAATGTTGCATTTATAAGGAAAAAAAAGGACTTATTACTTTTGAAATCTGGCTAAATTTTCTAATTAAAGTGTGATTCTGGAATGAAGTTTTCTTTGCAAACACATATATCAGGGTTATATTAAGATACTTTTGTTAAAAAGAAACACCCAAAAATGGTACATTTGAGTCAGAGGTTGTACATTCAGTTAAATGTTTCAACTTTAAAAGTACTGATAGGATTTTAGAAAAAGGGTTCTGATTTTATGGGGAGTGATCCTTGCTAACAAGCCAAGAGGGAATTCTCTGTGATAAGTAAGGAGTACATAGAGAGAAAAATAGAAGCTAAAAAGTGATGAGCAGTATTTCTCTCAATCATGCTTTTAGCTCTATTCCAGCTACACCAACCTATTACTTTGCTACTTTATTCTCAAAGGATTGGGAATCTTGCCTTCACTGATGGCAAGTTCAACAGCTTGAAAAATCGGACTCCAAAGGCCATTTAGGCTACAAGGAGAAAATTTAATGTAGAAATACCTCAACTAATGGAAAAAGGTTGTTCTGACCAGTCGGTCATACTACTGTGATTTGCAAGTTTGTAGTTTCAGAAGAAAACCTGTGGCACAATTGTGTTAGCAAGACAGCCACAGACAAAAGGTAGGGAACAGCAGTTCTGAAGAGGACAAGTCTGCAGGCTGGCTTGGGGAAGCTTTGTTTCAGTGTAAAAATGTGAATACCTTTTTCTAGACACTCTGGTTCATGATGAGCTCAAATTCAACATAGAAATGTGAGTCTATATATGTTTTGGGTCAAATTTACAGAAAAGCAAAATAATGAAAATGAATAAATATAAATAGCAACAGTTTAGCTCCTCTTTGAAACTGCGTGATTTCATGGTACCACTGGCTGTCTTTTATTACTTTTTTTGCTACACATTTAACTGTCTCATCTTCCAGAATCATATTAATGTAGTTATTTTCAAAGGAAACAATTTCCTCTCAGCATGCTTCCTTTGTATATTGAAGCACTCAAAATGAGAACAGCAGCTATACAATGGAATTAAATTATATTTTTAGGACAACAGAGAACAAATAAACAGAGATTCCCAAAACCTGTTTCTTTCTGCAGATTTTTGTGGGACCCTTTTTTATAACTTCAGGAAGAAGACATTCAGCACAGCAGAGCACACGTAGAGAATTTCATGCATTGCCTTGACTGTAATAAGAGGAATAAGGAAGCAGAGGTTCTTTTGTCTTGGGTTTGGGAGTGGGGCTGGGTCAATCTCTCTGTTTTCCTCTACCAAAATGGAAATGAGTGATACTTCTAATATGTTCCCAGCTTCTGACAAAATGTCTGGTCTGGCACTCTGAAGCAGACTTTTCCCTGCTTAGGAATGATAGACAGCTCATTCACTTTCTTTATCAGCCTTGCACAAGATGTAAGCTACAAGCAGTTATTCACCTGTCACACCTTTTCATATCTTCTCATGTCTTTGATTGATGACCAGTCAAATGCCAGCTAGATTCAAAGATTTATTTTTAAACTCAATTCCCCATGTGTAAGTACATTATCAATTATCTGTCATTTGAAGCAGAGATTTTGTTATGACAGATCTGGACTTCTATTCACACCATGCAGAATTTTACATCTCTTTAGCAATGCCTTTTAATTATTTATTCTTAAGAATTGGAAAAAAAAAAAAAAAAAAAAAAAACAAAAAAAAAAAAAAAATTCCAAACTAATATTTGATATCCTCAAGTTAATTATTGTCATCTACCACCCTCTGTGTTATACAAAGTGATATAACTACAGTATAAAACCCAAAAGCTGGCTTTTAAGCATACATTTTTATTTCTGCATGTCAGTGCTCTGTTACTCACTGAGTCATATAATATTTTCCAAATTATAGGATCCTACAAATAGCTATCTGATTGGCTGCCACATTAAAGTTCTACTTCTCTGAAAAAAATATTTGTTGTTTTTTGATGGATTATTTAATGAAATTTAGGTACTAGTGATCACATATACAGCTATCAACTGTCTGCCTTAAAAAAAAATGGTTTAAGATTGATTTACTGTGTAATTTGTGCTCCTGCTGGATGCTGGAAATCTCATGGGTTCTGTGCTTAAAAGTGTTAAACACATATTCTCCCTTGAAATATGAATTAAACTTAGGACACTAACAAAAATATGTGCGAATATCTTCCAAATTCCCAATCACTTCTAGCTAAATAAATAATTTCCTTGTAAACTGAGAAAACTACATGAAACACAGCCTATGACAAGTAACCTCCTTACCACTATTCAAATATCCTAGGCCTTGTGAGTTATTAAATGTTCTATTGTGACTATCAAACATTTGTCTTAAATTCAGGAATAATGAACTCAATAATATATAGTTCTACAATTTAATCCATTGGACTTTTTTAAATCAGGCATGTTTCTATTGTTGGCCATGTTACTGTTCACTACCTGGTACCATTAGAGCATTTCCTTTAAAGTTTGGAGTTTATTAATTTTATCATTTTCTCTTTTGATTTGGGCCTTTTTATTTCAGTGTGCTTTGTTCTGAGAGTAATGTAAGTCTTGTAAAGGCCATTTGTTTAAGCGTTTTAATTGATTATGTCTTTGCACATCAGCTAGAGACTTACCACTTTATAATTTTGAGTTAATATGGCAATTTTTTCTTGCAGCCTACCCACACTGGGTGGAGAAACTCAATGACACCCAATTAGACAGTGGAGATCAGCTCCGATGGGAATGCAAAGCCACTGGAAAGCCAAGGCCGACTTATCGCTGGCTGAAAAATGGAGTTCCTCTCTGGCCACAGGTACACTAGACAAGGAGCCACCTGTATGTTGGATGCTTCTCCTTTCATTCAGATGAATCAGTTATAGAAAGTACTGAAAAGTTCTTAAGAAATTACTGTTTGGTTAACTCAAAAAGTACAATGACTATTACATTTTCAACTCAATCTGTTCTCTGCAAGTAACAGAACTTATCATGAAGACCATTAAAAATGGTTCATGTAAGGCTCCTAGAATGTAAAGTGCTTTACTACAATCACCTGATATTTTTTAGAATTAGACATAAATAAAATTATTTTTTCTTTTAATAGACCATTGATGGCATGGTCTGTCTTTTATTTCACTTTTTTCTGTTTCTCTCACTGCATCATCAAAAAATCATCCCACATCATTTGGGGTTTTTGTCTAATACCTTTTAATTTTATAGTCTCAAATTATTTGGAGTAATTAAAATTTTGTAAACTTATTTAATCTATTTTTCCAGATTAAAATAAAGCTAGCTGTTAGATTCTGGGAGAAAATGGCTATATTTACAAATGAACTCACAGAATGGATTTATGAATATAAAAGATGTAATGTCTTCCTTTCCAGCAAATGTCCCTTCTATCTATCTGGGAACACCAACCAATTATGCAAACAACCAGAAAGGAAACATAAAACAGTTTACTTTTGAAGATATGAGGCATTGAAAATAAGATTACTCTATTCATTTCTGCTTTTTTAGATGGAGCTATTAGTGTTGAAATTGAAGCAATTTAAATATCTCTACTTTTTGGTTCTCTGATTTTCCAAACCATTAGTTTCTCCAGGCTCTGAAATTTCAAATTGAATTTTACTTTGAGCTGGGTGAGGGCTTACAACAAAGTGAATTTTTTATCATAGTTTCCTCTGCATTCCCAAACAATTTATGCCTTATCAATTTTAACTTACAACAACTGTTATAATGAAACTTAGAGTTGTGTAATAGTAGTTCAAATTACTCATATTATAGCTTCATTAAATACTCCCCTACATAAACAGCTATTGATGTCCCTTCTCTTCCAGTTGTGGTAATTATATTCTGCTACTGGGCCTTTCGAATTAGAAATTTGTACTAATGATGAAAGCAATTGGACCCTTTAATTCTTGCTTATGCAAGCAATCTTTCATATCTCTCCTTTTATAAAAATAGTACCATGACTGAGACCAAAAATTTGCTATATATTTGAAGATTATCAGACATATTACATCCACAAATGATTTCTTGCCTCCTTAATGTTCCCAGTATGAGCTGGTTTTAAAAATCATCTAAGGGTAACAGCAAACAAACAAACAAACAAACAAACAAAAAAAAAACAGAAAAAAGGAAGCTTTGAATTTAGTGAATTTATCTGAAAATATTTACTGTCAAATATATGTTGACTTTTTATTCTTGTAATTTCTTGTATAAAAAGGAAAATGTAAGTCCAAGGAAACTTGTTGCTCAGTTTTATTTTCGGTCCTTTTATGGTGCTTCACCTTAAGCTAATAACACAGAAATTTTCCAGTGCCTTTTTGCTTTTATAGAATATTTTTTAAATTACTTTTAAATTCTATTACAGAGCAGGATTGAGATGATTAATGGTGTTCTGATGATCCATAGTGCAAATGTCTCAGATGCTGGAATGTATCAGTGCTTAGCAGAAAATAAGTATGGTACGATTTATGCCAGTGCTGAGCTGAAGATTTTAGGTGAGTATTTGGAAAAGAATAAACTGCTCCTTTCTCCCTTTTTGAGAATTAATTCTTTTTTTTAGGCTGATGTGACAAGAAACAGCTTCTACCAGTCCAAACAGCAGAGCAGATAAAAGTTCTTTTTCTTATTATTACTTATATGTGGGTGAGTCCTTTGTTGCCCCAGAGAGTGTAGAGCCTTCTGTTAAAAAAAAAAAAAAATTGTCATTCATACATAACTGACTCAGTAACATTTTGTAAATATTTGTCATATAAAGCTATTTCAGTTCAAATAAATGGGAAAAATATTTTTTACTCCCACAAACATGTGCAGGAGATGAAATTTAGAGGAAGTAAATGTATTTTAATCTCTGCTGAAAATAGTTTCTTATCTCTACTTTGTCCATTATTCAAAGGTAATTAAGGTAATACAAAGGTAATTCAAAGGTGCATGATCTTAGTTTTAGAAAACTTCTTATGAAATCATCAAAATTAATTGAATAATATAAATTACATTTCTTGGGTGAATAGCCTCCACAGAAAAGCAAATACATTGCATAGTGTTACCTGGAAATATGATAAAAATGTCATTATCCAAAAGCTGAAGCAGGTAATTAATGAAGAAAAACTTGAAGAACATTTGAATACTCTAATTTTCCTTAAAGCAAAGTGTAGCAATGTGCAATGGAACAATAGTGATAAGTGCCCTTCCAGTGGATTAAGTGAGACAGACTTGTAAGATCATCTTTATTAAAATATGATGTAGCAGGAAGAAAGGTGTCCACCAAAATCATTTAATGGCCATATCAGAAATTAGAACTGCACATGAGAATTATTCCTATAAAGTCCTAGTCAAATGAGTAACAAAGCTATTGCAGAAATATACTCTGTTTCAGCTAACATTTGGCTCTTTCTGAAAATAACATTTCTGGTACATTTCAGCTATTTCCTAGCTGGCCAACATTAGAATTTCATTGATAAGTTATAAAATCACTTCTTTATAGCCACAAAATTAAAAGCCAAGGCAAGTGATTCTTCTCTTTCCATCACTTTTTTTTGGTCATTTGTGATTCTTTCAACAAACCTATTAGCTATAGCATTCTTTTGCTCTGTTTTTTGTATGTGTTATAAAATAGTTATTCCTAGTATATCATGTACTTGCAGATTTTCTTGGATGTTCTTTAATGTCAGAAATAGACCCAGTATATTGCTGCAGTAAAATTGGCTTTTCATTTTCTCACTTGCAAGATCGTACCCATGTTAAATTTTAACCATAATATTGCATTAAAGAAGCAGTTGGGTTTAATTTGCTGCCTTACCAAAAGGAAAAGAATTGAATAAATTGTCCACATAAATATCTCTGATATGAGGATTAACCAAAATAGTGGTAGGAAAATCTTACATATTTGAGGCAATGAAGTATAATGTCCTGGTGTAGCTGAGGTGTAGGTATAGCTGGGATAGGGACCTTTGACTTTGCAAAAATATTTCAAGAAAAACACAAACACTTGAGAACTAATGTCCTTTCTTGGTATGAAATTACAGTAATTAATGCCATTTTAATGCATTTTTAGCTTAGTTTTTGTTTGTAAACAATAGGACTTCTTAAAAAGTGAAATACTAAGAGCAAGAGATGGTTAAATGTCTTCTGTTAAGAAGTTCTCATAGTGAAATTCCCAGTTCTCAGGCAAATACAAAAAATTAAAGTAATAAAATTTCTCTAGTAGTAATATTTCTTATAAGCATTAACTCTAGACAGTGCATTTCGGATTGTTGTGGAATTAAAACTTTGTTTAATTTTTAAATATTTACCTCTAACAAGTTTTTGATTAAAAAAAAAGATGGGAAAAGTGTAGCTAAATAATTTCTAAAGTTGTTTGATTTCATAAGTAGTTTTACTCTAATCTGCTGATGTGGAAGATTTCTCGATAATCTCTACCTGGATTAAGTTATAAGCCTACCATGTATTCCTGGCTGCTGATTTCAAATGTTTTGTAAAACTTCACCTTGGACATAATAATTTCAAAGAGAGAAATTGACATGCTATTCCCAAAACCAAATATATTTTTCTAATCTTCTGTTAGAACACAATGAAACAGAAGGCTTCGATTATTCTTTGTAGTGTTAATTTACTTCTTTTTAACAGCTTCAGCTCCCACTTTCCCGCTTAATCAAATGAGGAAAACAATAATTGTTACCAAAGGCCAAGAAGTTGTCATTGAGTGCAAGCCAGAAGCCTCTCCAAAGCCAACTATCACTTGGAAGAAAGGCGACAAAGTGTTAAGGGAGAATAAGAGGTCAGAAGTCTGTTTGGTAAATTAAAATTGTGTTTGCATGTTGAATTATGTGATATGATATGAAAATGCAGCAAGTGACAAGAACATGCTGAATGTTAGCCTGAGTATGGAATAATTATCTTGTCAAGCTGATTTGTTTGACTGTAGTGACTTTATAATTTCCACAATATTGAAATGAAAAACTTTAACATTGTTCAGAGATGCAGAGAGATGAAAAGGTATTATTATTTTGTGGGGTTTTTTCTCTATTTTCTGTTATTCATTTCAAAAACCTTTCAATTATTCTGTAGAGGTACTACAAATTTAGCATATGAAAGTATCAAAAGCATAAAGGCTAAGGTATTCAGGAAGACATAAAATGTGCTTATTCATTTGAAATAATTTTAATAAGGCAGATTTACAGCTTGATCACAATGGAAGTCTATGTAAGAATAGCTGTAAAATGATTCAGAGATGGAAAATATAATTCCATTATAGGATTTAGTTATACTGGTAATTTCTGTACTCAGCAGCACATATGTTTAACAGATTATGCTTGATTAAGTAAGTTCTGCCCAGCTTTGTATGGTAAAAGTAGTTTAAGCGCTGCAGGTTAAATGCCAGATGTAATTGCACTTTACAAGATTTCTTATCTGTACACTAGAATAGTTTTGCTACTCTGCACATGGTCTTTAAGCACAAAGAGCAATCTTTTCCTCTTTCTGGTAATGTGGTATGTGAATGAAGTAATTTAAAATGACTTGTATAGTATAATCAGAAAGATAAAATCAAGCCCCCTTTTTGTTGAATTTTTACAACACTGAGGGAAGCAGTAGAGTGCGTCTGTCCTCATTAGCAGCCAAAGCTATTGTTCAAGTGTGCTGTATTTTCATCTCATGACATTTGTTTTGTTCTGAGAAGGAAAAATGGGTAATTTCTTGTACCATATTGAATTTTTTTTTTTTGTTGTTGAGTCAGAGAGAGCAAAACAGCGTTATATACAACATTTTACCAACAGAAGTGAGTTGTATCATTTGTATTGACAATCTGACAGATTCATATTAAAAAGGAGTTGAAAATATCAAATATTATGACACTGATGTCTCTATGCTCTACCTACACAGTAGATATTTTTCACTACATGACCTTTTCCTCTCATCTCCACAAAGCTCACTATGGTTTCTCTGATCATCACATGTAAATTGCATTTTAGTCCAAAACCAGTAAAGCATTTTAGTAATTACTTTAGGTCTGCTCAAACATAGCCTAACTCTGAAGTTAAAATCTTACAAAAATAGATCTGGTGTTTCATTTTTTGGTATTTGTAGCTTTTGATACTTGCTTATTTCAACAGAGGCTGGAACAAGAAACTATGAAACATGGAAAATGAAAAGCTGGTTGAACTATTTCAGATATTTAAAAGAAGAGGGTTGCATTCAACTTAATTTTTTAGTCGGCTGTTCAAGGATTATCTTGTGTCATTCACAGCAGTTTCCCTGCATCTATTGTTTATAGAAGGGTGTGCATGAGAAGAATATCAGTTTCAAGGGAATTCAATTCTGTCTCTATAGAGTATACTTTAAATAAAAACAATAGAGTCTCTGTAAGAGAAGGTGAGGAAGCCTACTGTGATTTGTGAAAAGAAGTGTAAATCATTGAAGATAATGTGTGTTTCCATGCTTTGAGCATTCTGAGAAGGAAGGAACTCTGTTAAAATTTTTTAAAGGAATAAGCTGACATTGTAAACATATCAGTATACTTTAAAAATGGGCTTTCTTCATAGTCTGCTAATAAAAATGCCAGAAAAAGAAACCAAACAATTAGGAACTGTCATCTGATGAGTTTCCATGGACTATAAAGTCCTTAGAGATTAAAAAAATATAATTAATTTTTTAAATTGCAAAAAATAGCAAAATTTTGGTTAAGTAATAAGGAAGAGCAAGAATAGAACAGCATAACATATTTTCTTCTATTCTGTCACAGTTTTTTTTCTCTTCTAAAGTGCATGTATCAAGTGTATATTATATTTAAGTTTTGTGAAGTCTATGAGCTTAGAAAAGGAATTTGATCCTTTTTTTTCAATGAAAGAGAGACCTTCCCCTCCACAGCAAAGAAAATATTTCACTTGAACAGTGGGTCTGCTATTATCTATTCCATGTTTCCAAACTCTGTTGCCCCTTAGGTGTGTTCTATACAACAAAAGGTGGTTGACACAAATACCTCTAGAAGTTTCTGTAGGTAACTGAAGAGTTGGCTGCTTGTTCCTGTGGGACTTGTGGCTGGGTACAGTCCTCAGTGCAGTCAGACCTTGACTCAAGCTCTTGGAAAGTAATGCAATCTGAAAGCCTCAAATGTTTCAGATTCATTGGAAAGCCATGCACTTGGGAACATAACTGTGGAAAACCTTCATTAGCTTCATTTCTTGGTCTCTTTTAGCTTCAAACAAATTATCCAGTTCAAGCCCTTTGAATTCATAGTATATCTATGATAGACTTGATCCCCAGAAATCATTTTGAGCAGCTTCGTAATTTGATTCCTCTTGGAAAGCATCTGCATATTGTAACAGGTTTTTTCAATTGAGTTCCAAATGAGTGGCAAGTCTATGAGATAGGTCCAAAAAAATTAGGATATTCAGTTATATCAGTTATTATATGTCAATTATTTGCTGATAAAAATTACGGCTACAAGTTTTAAAAGCTCAAAATACATTAAATCTGATTAAATTACTCTTATAAAGAGATGGTTATTTAATAAAGTTTCTGAAGAGTTTGCAATTAATTCTCTTAACCAGAGATAAAGATCTAGAACTGATGAAAAAGAAATTAAACAAAATATATTATATTGGAGATCTTTTATGCAGAAGACTAGAACTTCCAGATCAAGGCATTGTCTGTGAAGCTTATTGATACAAGACATTTAATGATCAGCATTTGAAGAGATTTCAAGTTTCTTTCATATATCGTTATCTTAGTGAGTCATTAATACATTCAATCAAAGATAATTTCATCTGCAATTTCACCTAACAGTTAAGGGAAGGGAATTGTTATACCTCTATTTTGGAATTAAAATGCAGCTGAGCACAACACCAATGTCAATAGTGTAGATATAGAACATATTTAAGCTGCATATTTTCATTAATCATCTCACAATAGTTCAAATTTGTAGCTATCTTTCCTAACAACTTGTATCTGTTGTCTCATAGGCTGGTAGAGGATTGTGTCTCATTTATGGCAGGCTATGATAATGTATGCTCTGGTTATTGACTTGAACAATATTTTCATCCATAAGAATTTGTAAAGAGCTTTGGAATCTTTTTGTTCATAAGTAGTTTTGGTTTTATAGGAAAGGGGATTATATTGGGATTAATGACTGAAAAAAAAAGTTCTTACTTTGATTTTTAGTAAACAGTTTGGTTGGAACTTTGCTTTAGAACCTAAATAGGAGGAATTAGAGCCTTGGGCAAGAGTTCAGTGACCAAAATATATTTTTGTGAAGTTTCTGAATTCATTCAGATACTTCCTTTAGTGTAGTCAAACCATCACTCACTACTTTAGCATCAGCTTCTAAATAAGACCCAGCCCATTCAGACCATAAAGCCATCCAGAAGCTTGTTCATAATTAAGCATTTTTTAACTTACATATCAAACTAAAAGAAAGCAACAAAAGTGATGTTTTGTAAACAGTAAATGTTATAATGTATGCTAGAATGGACTGGAATTAGGTCTCAGTTGCACCAATAGAAATCATGAGTTCTACTAACAAAGTCAACTATTAAATTCAGGACAACCATTTTTTAAAATTTTTTTCAGTTCCTGTGTTCAGGCGTCAGGTATTTTATAATGATTTAAAACTGCATAAATTCTTGTAAGCCATTACTCCATGAGTTGTAATCTCTTTTTCTTCATTTTCAAAGAAACCTTATTTTCTTGTCTAGATTGCCTTATAGTGATGATTACAGTTGATGTTTAAACAGATACACCTGAGGACTCAAAAAGTTTTGAAAAGTCTTATAAGTCCATGTTCATCTGTTTTTGTGCTTTCTTGTACAACTAAAATATTCTCCTCATTAATCTTATATTAAATTCTTACTCTGGCTCATTATTTTCATTATACATCCATTAATTATAGTTAAAATAAAATAATTTGAAAGCACTCTAGGAGTGAAAATGTTCTATTTAGTCCCTATTTTTGCTTCTTTATTAAGACTACCAAGTAATAATACTAATACTAATAGTAATCTTTTAAAGCACAGTTTAACCAAAAAATTGAGGAAGAAAGAACAGGTCAATCAGTAACAGAGGGAGCAGAACTTTTCTAGTCTCTATTCTGTTTGAAGCTTCTCAAATTATAATGCTGTGTTTGTTTTACACTATAATTTGTGTGCAGATTAATATTTAATATAAAAAAAAATCAATATATAGGGATGACCTAATACCTATGTATTCATCAGTAATGTAGTTCTGTGTTTATGGATTTTTTGCTTTCATACTTTCTTTATATGGCACAGTGGCACAGTCTAAGCTTTCTCCTTCACCTCACAGAACAAGCTGTGCAGAAAAACATTAACAGTCTCTGAAGGTCAGATTCATCACAGATCACCAAGAGCACAAGAGTGCCAGTCTCTCTGTGGTCACTGTGTAATTGCTCATATTGATCCACCTATGCCCCAGATTAATTTTTGCTGAAGACCTAAATACACTAAGCCTTTCTGTGGGGAAAAGAAATGGTAGCAAATCTCCACCTGCCACTTCAAATCAGTCACTTTTCCTATGGTGCAATTAGCTTACTTTGTTCCACTTCTCTTTGAAGGAGTTCTTACATAAGATGAGAAAACTTGGTATGTTAAAGCAGCAGAGGGAATTGCAGATATTTTGAAAGTAATAGACTGGGTTTCATCAGGACACAAACTTCAACATCTCTATTCTTGCAATACACAGTCACAATGGTAATTTTATTGATTGTAAGTAGGTAAAAACTTTTTCCTTTTTTTCTGAATGGCATAAAAGAATTACAGAAGAGCA